ACGGCCGGCGACAACCGCCCTCGGGAGGGTGCACGGCCGCCTCCCCGCGGTCTGCCCGGGTTTGCCCTCCGTCGCTGGGTTACGGGAGGCAGACGCTTAGTGTTTGTAAACCGTGTGTTTAAAACGAGTTTGGAGAGTCGGAGAAGGAACTGCTGCAGCGCTCCGAAAGGTTTTGTCTTCGAGTCGGACAGAGGAGTGGAAGGGAGAGTTCAGGTGTGGGCAGTGTTTAGTGGGCAGTTCGTGACGTAGCTGGGGGGCAAAGGGATTGTCAGAAACTGCTTCCAGATTGGATTTGGCCCTAAAAACTTGCTATCTCAGCTGTGTCTTTGCTTAACGAGGTATAGGATGGAGCTGAAACCATTTTAGGAAAATGCTGGATTTTAGGAATCTGGTGGACTTCAGGTGGTATGCTCATAATCTGGATGTGTTTAAAAAACTTTAATTATAGCCTGGTGGAGTTCTAGTTGTCTCGTGATAAGGAACAGATTTGCCAGAGCAGCGCATGAGCTTTCTAGTTTTTCTTTGGTAGGGGTTTACCTGTTGTTAGGCTGCAGGGTGCCAGGTTTCGGCACGGCGTGCCGTGAGGCCGTGCTCGGAATGGGCGCAGCTGCCAAGCACGTGCGCAGCCCGAGGGGTGTTTCTTTCCATGTTTGCTGTGTAACGAGGGAAAGGCGAAGTGCGATGTTAACAGTCCGTGTTTCAGGGAGCCTTCTCGCCAGCAGACACTGGTGTTGGTACACAAGGACACAAACCATCCTTGGCAGAGCAACTAAGGGTTAAAGTTCTGTCATAAGAGGGAGAAGGACATTGAGGCGTGCTGCCTTTTCCGTGTGTGAAGGAGAACACGGGATAGAATTAGCAGAGTGGGGAAGCAAAGATCAGGTTGTGGTGGAAGCATGTCCCCGGGTGTTTCAGGTGAGGCGGTGCTGCAGGTGTCTTCCTATTTGTGGGGTAGGCTCAGCCTGTGAAATCCAGCAAGTATGCCTCTTCCAGCCCAAATAATTTGAATATGGTTTTAAGTAGAAGAAGGATGTGAAGCTGGCTGTTGAGGGTGCAGGATATGGTGAAATCAAGTAAACTGAGGGATAGTAATAAAATGCTTACTGTAAAAAGGTGAAGCAAGATAAAAGCAGCTCTCGATAAAAGATCAAACTCGATGTCATGCATCATGCTCCCACCAGGAGCGTGTAAAGTAAACTTCCAAAAGACGGGTGTATTGAAGCGGTGCTGCCGAGGAGCTGGGGATGCTCTGTGGTGGAGCCGAGTCGGATCGGAGTGCTCTGTGTGTCTGCATTTACGTTTCACAAGTTGTTCCTTCGGAGTTCACAGCTTTTTGTGTGAAGTGTCAAATCGGGTTTTCCTGGCTCTAGTATGATATGTTTTTTGTTAAGCACTACAGACATCTTTAATCTTCTGTTTGCTTTTCTGTGCAAACTTTGGGCAGATGAGATTCTGAGTATTTGCTTTTCTCTTTCTGCGTTAAGAGTAGTGATTTGGGAGGACCATTAAAAGTCCTATTTTTGTGACTGGGGTGGAGGAGGAAAAGGGAATGAATCATAAGTGCCGTCAAAAGTTACTCTGCTCTGGAACACGTGTGATGGGAGTCAGAGTGGAAGTTTTCCTCTCGAGTTGCAGTGGTAGCTGTTTGACTCGCAAGATGAACTTTACAAATTGCTTCGTCCTCAGAGCTTTGTTTCCTTAGTGGTAAAGGTGTCGGGATGTTTCTTGAGCTGACTTCCAGCAGAAAGTTAAAGAAATGACAGGAATATGCAGCTCAAATGCCTTTCGACACATCTGTTACATGTTTAAACAATACGCTGACTGAACCGCGGGCTGCCTCCGTGTCCAGCTCCCGCCGATTGCTGCAGCGGAGCGCGGAGCGTCAGCCTGCGGTTGGGGTTTGCGATGCTCCTGGCTGGGCTGCCGGGCCCGCCCGCGGGCCCAGGGCTTGGGCTGAAGCAGCAAGCAGGGCGACTTGCCAAGCCATCACAGATATCCTGATAATTTTTCTCTCTCATTAGACTAGACTGTGTATCTGAACTGTTGTGCAAAGCATTGGCCTTGTAATTAAAGAAAAGGCTACAGCTGGCTGCAAATTGGTTTTGTTCTTTAAATTCTTCAGTCGTCATTTCGCATTTCTGTGTGCTCTAATGCATTTTTCTGAAAACAATGACATTTGTCATAAATCTATTGCTTTTAATTTTGTTCATGTGCAAAACTTGTTAGAATGTAATTTCTAGTATTATGTTTAAAGTACTTTTGTTTAGTAACTGTTAAAATGGTATTTCATTTTGCAAGGGGCTTTCTGGTAGCGTGGTTCTAAATTGAGTAATATGGCCGTGTGTGTCAGGTCTTACTGTTCCGCTCTTTGAGATTTTTCAGACAGTGCATTGGAAAAAGGGGAACCGCTTGCATTTTACATTTCAAACCTAAGCAGCAGTAGGTGGACAGCACATTTCACTCTCCGTACAGCAATTCAAAGGTAGTGAGTAAGGGGGAGGAATTACATATTTTTCAAAACAGTAAATATGAAACCAGGAAAATAAAAATGAGTGTGTGAAGAATTGCACTTTTTCTTAGAAAGTGAGTTTTTTAACGTAAATGCTAGTAAGGGTTTCTTTTGGTAGAAAAACATG